TTATCATAAACCGAGGCGAGACTTCGACTTATAACAAAGGCTTGGCTTGGCTATTATAACAAAGGATCGGCTCTGTTTATCATAACAAAGGTCTGGCTTCGTTTATTTGAAGACCTCGGCGGGAAAAGGGCGCTAGGTATTTTAATCAAAAGCGAACTTTGTCGAAAACGCTCCAAATCTCGCATGCAATTTTGTTTAGGTATGTTTGTTTAGGTATGTCCCGTAGTTTTTCCGCTAAGCTTCGCTTCGTTTTCGAGATATTGCGTATGCAGAAAAACCACTCGGTTTTCCTAACGGTGTCTTTATAAATGAAGCAAAAACCAGCAACAAAAATACAGGACCACATTTTTCTATCACATTGAAGACCATATGCAAAAATTCAAGCCCTTTCGCGAAATTTTTTTTTTTCACCCAAATCGTCACTTAGCATGGTTTTGCACTCACCCCTTCAATTGTACTCTAAGGAAGTATTGTATAGTAAGTAGTATAAGTAACGTATTGTTAGTGGTATTGTAAGTAGTGTCTGTCTTGTTTTGCAATAAAAATAACTAAAAAAATAAAAACATCTTGATTGACACCCAAATGACACATTGAGTGTCAGTTGATATACAGCTAGGTGTTGACTGACTCACGAATATGTGAAGAAGCTAGTCATAAAAGGGGATAAGTGACAATTTTGGTTGCTTAGGGGTTGGGTATTGATCGACACTTGACCGTGGATGCCTTTAGTACACATGATCCAAATAATTAATTCAACCTACAATGCAATTTAATAGAACTGCACTCACAGTGTTTACTGTGTGTAGCTCCACCTTGAAATGGAGAAACAAAGAAGAAACAAAGCATGCACAGTGCCTCACCTGGTGTGTAATGTCTGGTCGAGCTGTGGCTGGATCCTTTTTGTTTTTCCTCATAATTGTTTTGTGTTTATCACAGTTTAACAACTCAAAACTCTTTCCATTCTACGATAAAAAATATTCATTAATGGGACACAACATCAAAAATGGAAACTGGCTGCATCTTGTTCTACTCAGGAAGTTCATCATAATTTTACAACCTATTCTATTTGTATTAATGTTTTACAACCTATTCAATTTGTATTAATGTTCTCCCCCATTTTGACTATTGTAACTCTCTCCTAATTAACGATTATGAGTTGAGATTTTTATGAGGTGATAGGCTGAATCAACTATCACCTCATAGAAATAGAGTGTGAATAAACTAATTGTTTTAGTAGAGTTCTAACTGAAATTAATGCAAATAAAGGTTTCCCATTATTTTTCTAGACATTACTTAACTCTTCAATAAAATCGCACGGATTGAATTGTCATCGGAAATTTCCAATTGTTTACTCACGCACACCAGTTTTTTCAATAATTTCAAGTTTTCAAAGTTAGGAAACCGTTAATGTCCTCCTTGTAGTCTTCTCAGCAAATTCATTATCCATTTACATCTAAACTTTCTTCCAAAACTTCAGAAAAACAACAGAAACCTTGCGTTGCGTGGATGACTGACAGCCACTGCACTCTAATAAACAATTAGATTATGAGCTTGAGATTTCAATATAAACGTATAGGCATAGAAATTGAGAGAGATTAATCCAATTGTTTTAGTATAAATATACTAATCGCTCAAAACTTCAAAATCCTATTCACAGACACTTCGAAAACGCCAAGAAGTGGCCATCATTTTGTTAAGAAGGGCGCACTACTACACTACTCACTATCTATCACAGAATAGATAGTAAGTAGGGTAGCCAATCAGTGAATGGTATTCATGATAGAACGCTAGTAGATTTATACTAATGGCTTATAGTATACGAGTAGATAAGCCAATCAGATTGCAGCATTTGCATTAGCACACTAGTAGAATTCTACTGATTGCAATTAGTCAGACCCTGTCAGATAAGTTAGGAAATGCAAATTATTATATACTCAGAACTATTTATGATTTATCCAAGTCTGTTAGCTAAGAGAAGATCTTGTCGCAGTATAACTTAGATACCATTAAGCATAAGTACTTAGTCCAAACTCCAGTACTCATGTTCAAAGGTTATCCTAATTATATAAGTAACGTGTTCAGTTTGAAAAACTGTGCCCACAATCTTCATGGAAATGGTAGCAGATTCAATCAACCAGCCCCTAATACCAGTTTCAGGTGCACATATTTTTCTTATATTGCATACCGACTCTAGAACAATCCACATTCTCATATCAGGGAGGCACCCGATCTCAAGAATTTCATTGCCAAGCTCAACAAAGAACTTATTATTAAGCTCCGCCAGGTTGAGTGTCGTTGCAATCTCTATTCTCTAGAGTTGATTGCTTAGTTGTAATTAGCTTAGATAGTTAAATTTTATCCTTCTTTTTTTTAGCAGTTTCTTCGTATATATCTCAGGAATGTATATATTTATTAGTATGATAGATACACGTGCATTTTTGTTACCCTGTGGCTACATGTCTGGCAGCCAGACAGGTTTCTTAAAATACTCTGTGTCCGG